CAGCTTACCAAGGATAACATGCTCTGACTCGAACCCAGCCGAACTTTGCTCAAATGCTAACTTCACTTGAGCTGAACTCCAACTAAGCCATATATTCAACCAAATCTGAACTCTTCCGCAACTATAAACTTTACTTATGGCTTTTCTTAACTCAAGTATCGAATCTATTTCTTGGCTATATCCAAGCCACAACTACCAAAACCTTAAGTTATCTCATACTGCCTCTTCAAATCATGTTTTACAATAGTTATTTTGTGCTATACAGCAGTGAGGGTTCATGTTGGGAAAGCTTGATCTTCTCTAGTCTGATTTTATTCAGATTACCTAAAGTTTATGAAATATAACAGCTAAATAACAGTAAAAAAACAATAAAAATAACAATATCAATAAAATTGTAATTAAAAAAGACATCTGAGATACTCCTTATGCTGCCTATTACACTGGTCAAGACTAAATGCAGTCGAAAAGGACACTGTCTTCGCGGACAGCGTGGCTGTGCATCTTGTCCACTATGGTGCGATCACACCGGCACCATTCTGACCGTGTTGTCCACAAGTCAACGAAATTCTCGGCAGGTTACGCCGAAACAAAACAGCGTTAATCCCGTCCTCTTTTTAATAAATATGCAAGCTGTTAATTGGGTCAATTGAACTGCGAGCCGCTGAAAGTCAGAGTCTTTCTTTAACATCGTATTAAACCATGTGAACAGGTTTTCTGATAACTTCTGACCTAGCAGGACAAAGTTTCGTTGTACCTGTGCCGTGTTTCGTTATACCTCATATGCTGTGTGTGTTTTGTTGCACCTGTGCTATCTATTCACTGATAACCGCACGCACTGTTACAAATTCACTATGTAACCGTAAATGACAGTTACAAAGACAAACATAGCATAAAACAGTCTAAAACCGCGGCGATCAAAACATTTACCAGAGTCACTGAAATCATCAACGAGCAAGATTTCATGGATATACCGCATTGGCGTTCGGTCAAGTATCGAATTCACCATTCGGATCAGAACCGACGTCGCCTCGTTAAAATAACATATGACGATGCTGGCGTTTCCCAACTCTTCTGTATATTTCATTGATCGGCACCTGAAAGATTCGATTCATGTATATCTCGTCATGTTCTCATTCATAAACCAGCTTACAATTCGTGACGGGTATCTGGAATTGTTCGTCTTTCACCCAGCCTGTCACTCACCAGAACATTAAAGGAATACCTTTGATAACCCGTATCATGTTTCACTCTGTCCGATTCGTTATAAATGATGCCTAAACGCTCCAGATTTGGTTGTGTCGCTAAGATTAGCGTCTTGACTATTTCTACTTCTTTATTCCTAAAACGTATAGTATAAGTTTATCTTTTGAAGCTCGATAAGCAGTAAAACAGGAGGAACACCAATAATAATTATTATTATTGATTAAAAACTATAATTTTTGAGGGTGATACACCACTTCATGATGTCAGACATAGTTTGAAAAAAGATCAACCATATCATAATCAATGCAATTTCATAACCTTTCTTCGTCTATAAAAGGATGAACGGTATGATCTTTGTTGACTATCACCTCTAAGTCTGAATATAAGGAGACGGATCTAACGATCAGGATCCGTATTGAATATTAACTCATGAAGAAATGAAGATAAATTTTTTTCTTCATGCCGCCTGCCGAGCATAAAGCAGGCGACCCTGGGTAAGGTCACTGAAACGCACGAAAGGTATCGGATGAAATGAAGGAAAGCGCTTCGTTTAGCTCTTGGATAGTCAAGATTTGAGAAATCCGACGCAGCAACGTTGTCAAAACTTGTACATCCGTGCTCTCACTTCTCTGAGCTGAGGATCAGATCTGACTATCTCATGGGTGCACAGATCTAACATCTTTTGCGCAATCCCAGTAGGCGGGATTATGTATCGTGGGAAAAAACGGGTTCCCCTTGCGCTTCCCGCAGAGGACATTAAATTTACACATCATTGTTGCTTCGCATTTCTCAGATCGCATCGAAGTTATTTTTTCTGCATTTCCTGACGGCATCCATCAAGGTTTGCCGGTTTTGTAGTTTTTTATTTAGACAGCAAATGAAATGATAAAAGTTATTTTTACCGTATGCTTTTAGAGACAAATACCTATGGTAGTAATCAGTATTTTCTTCAAGGTTTGCAGTCAGGGCAGTACTTCCATAGACAAATTTGCCCTAAGACAAAACTAAGTATCAGCCTTAAATTACTGTGGTACAGTAGTCGGCCATTTCAAGACTCGTGATTGGAAATCAAAACTAAGGAAGGCCCCTTTGCTAACCCATTTAGATAACAAAAATTATGCACCATTCATGAAAAGGTCAAAATTGCACGATGCAAAATTTGTTCATTCTATTCTTTCAAGCGTTGTATCACGAATCACCTTTGAGCGTTACACTCAGTTCAGATTAGAAAAGATGTTCTTTGTTTTTAAATGTTGTCCAGTATCAGACGACAAAGGGAAGTAACAAGTGTCTTGTTATGTCTCGATTATATTATAAGACCAGGCAAAATCATGTCTTCCAATCCAAACCATTGAGCCTGTCCATTTCACGGCTAAAGGAGATAAACTAGAAGATCTCCTGAAAAAGCCGCTCCTGCGACCCGAAAGAAATTTCAATATTGAAATATTGAAAGTAAATGAAAGTCCCAGTCAGCCAGTCAATCAATTTCGATGCTAGCGTTTGCGCTTCGGCAGAAATCTCAGTACCTTGAGCTTGGAGCAAAGAAGATTTGCTCCAGGTCACTCTTGATTGTATCCTGGGTATTCAGTCGGTCGCTTGAGCAACTAGAAGCTATTTCGCCTTCCTTTCTGCAAGTATTTACAAGACGTGAACAAACCATCAGAGCCGTGACTTCTCAACCTGAAGAATGAATTTCTTAACGTAAACTAATTTTGCCAAAATCGAATGATAGACGCAAGTCACATAAACAAAACGTAAAAATATACCTAACTTTTAAGACTTCATAACTTACATCATGTCTGAAAAATGATTCGTGTTGTCACCAACGTTAACAGAACCAATGTTTGCGACTGACTTTTCCAACGAATCTGAAACTAAAAATTTGCCCAGATTCGACATCGACATCGTAGCGAGATCAAGACATACCTGGCCGCAGAACAACATTGACTTCCTCGGGAAAACGAAGGTTGGCAGCGTAAAGCAACTGGTACAAAACCCATGGAACGAAGGTAACAAAAACGCCAAAAATGAAGTAACGCAGTTTGACAAACCGTTTCATGACTAGAACAAACAACCAACGGCAAAACTTTGCAACTCGTCGACGAACTCTAAGGACATCTACTGGCTTTGTGCAAAATCTTTATCAATCCATGAGTGAGCGGTTAAGGCACTAAAAAAACTTTTTTATAACTATCAATCCACATTCGCACTGTACATTTAGAATAAGCTTTTACTAGAATCAACGCTAACTAAGTAACAGTCTTGCTTAAAGTACTCGGTATCTTAGAGAATCACCCAGACTGTGAGCAGTTTATTAGTATCCATTACTTACATTTACTTGGCAACAGCGCTTAGATTTCCTACGATTTGTTCGACTGAATGAAAAGTCATAGGTGTGAGACAAATGTCTAATGGTCCAATTAGGATTTTTCCCGGTTTCCGAAATCAGCGACGACAGTCTGAAGAGAAGAATAACACAAAACAATTGTCTAACATTTTTTTTGGGTTTTTGCTCATTTTTATATTAAATCATGTGACAGTCAGAAGTCGAACAGAAGGTCGGCATGCAAGAACGACAAACAAGGCAGACACGTCCATGCTTCAGTTAATCACTCAGTTTCAATGACGGCTCATTCCTTTGTGGGAAGGGGGCAAAAGCAGACCCACCAAACAGTGTCTCCAACGTTCCCAATCCTGCACCACTATTTGTGTTTCAAAAGAACTAACCTGACTTTTGAGCAAAATCTTTCGAGAAACTTTTCTAAGATTATTCGCGGCCGCCACCGGTTTCTTCGGCCAGGCGACTGAATAAATAGCAGATGTTTTTCATTCTTTTCACGAAGCATTCGCAAGACGTGTGTTGAAACCATCGCAGCTGTGACCTTTCAATCTGGGGAAGCAGAAGCTATATGGCAAGACTGTCCCAGATATTTGAACCTCGGGCACGTAAAGACCAAAAAGACAAGCGATTCGTCTCAGAAATTCCATATAAGCAGTGTGCACCCCTCCTCAAGAAGGCAGACCACAGAGAATGCTGAAATTATCCGCGCATTACTTCTCTGAGCCTAAGTGAAAAGTATACGTAAAGAAACTGGAAATGAGTTGCCGCGTTATAACTGACTATAACACAAGAAGTGCAGCGTGGCTTCAGGTTAGGCCGACTGATCTCAATGAAATATTCTATTAATGCCGGCATGTGGAGAAATTGTGGGGTTAAACTCATCCATCATGTTACTGGTTGACCTGATAGTCCAGGGAAATCCTATGACCTGATCCCCGTGCAAAAACCTAGAGACATACCTGCGAACATATGGGATCAATAGACAGTTAATACGAGGCTCTTTCTGGTTTTTGCTACCACTGCGTTCTGTGGCCTATCCTGCTTGTGCTGTACATGAATGGAATAGTCAGGCGCACCCAGGGCGATGAGTGTACCAGTGTTGGGGCCGTAGAGATGAAAAAATTGCCATTTGCAGACGACCTTGTTTTGTTGGCACCATCTGAAACTGATTTACAGCTTTCGCTGGAAATCCTCGCAATCCAGTGCGACGCAGCCGGCATGCGTGTTAAGGTATCTAAGACACCAGAGTAATACTTTCCTTTTCTCCGGTCCGTTGCTCTTTTCTTATAACGGCGAGGTGGAGTAGTTCAAGTTCCTCAAAGTCGTGTTCACTAGTGATTGAAAATTTGAAGAAGAGGTCGATCGGTGAATTGGAGTAGCCAGTGGCGTCCTGCGTGAATTAGCCAAAGCCCTTGTGACTAAATCACAGCTGGGTTTGAAGACTAAGCTCTCGGTAATCAAGTCGATCTTCATCCCCATGCTCACCTACGGCCAGGAGTCGTGGGCCATGACTGAAAACCTTTCATCCCAGGTAGAGGTGGCTGAAATGGGCTTTTCGAAATGAGTCGCGTGTCCAAATTCTCCGGAGTAAAGACATCCGCGAGAGCCTTGGTGTACAGTCGCTGCTTCTCAAGATTGAGAAGGCACAGCTACGATTGTTTGAGCATGTATTACGAATATTTTCAGAAAAGAACAAGAAACACTTACTACTTGATCAACTGATCGGGCTCGTGGACGGCCACGAATGACCTGGGGAAAGATTCTGCTCCAGACTCGAGTTATTCTCTGCCGAAGCTCAAACTCTGGTTCAGAATCAGTAACATTGGAGATATTGACGGATACGTTTGCCTCCTCGACCGGAAAGGATAAGGAAGCATCGAAATTGACTGACTCACTGACAAATAAATCCTTGTTATATTGTTTTACAGTACGAATGCAGGGACTAAATACTCCCCAACGTGAACCGAAGTAGAATCCTTAAAAGTTGGAAAAATTAAGGTCATATGGATTAAGGCAGATTATCTGTAGTACAACAACAATTGAAGGAAAGAAACAGTCATAAAACGAAACGGCAAATAAAATTAACAAGCACACTATCAACATCATATGGGTTTCCGAGAATATACGCTAAGATCGATATCATTTATATACGATAAATTCTATTAACTGCCTATAAATTTTGTCCTTACGAAAACTCAACAAAACCGACAACAGGGCGGTGTCATGCTGATCATAAAGATGTTCATAGTGCTGTCGCGGAAGCCAGTATTCACGCAAAACGAAAAAAAAAGGATTTAAGGACAATACTGGTTCACCTCAAGGCATAGGTCGGAATGACAAGCTGAAATTGCTTTATTTTCATAACCCTTACGAAAGTCTGCTAATTAAACATCCTGAACATATGGAAATTCGATGTCACATACTTGACTACAGACAATGTCAAATTCTCAAGTAAATAACGAATGTTATATACAAGGAAGTAAAACAAGTACTGCAAGAATCGTCATATGACTGGAAAAAAGCCGTATACTATA